TCACGAGCTCTCGATTTTCGCAATATGGCGAGCTCACGGTTTCGCGGCATGACGAGCTCGTGGTGTCGGCGCTATGACGAGCTCATGATTTCGATGAGGTGACGAGCTCGTGGTGTCGGTGATGTGATGAGCTCATGATTTCGATGAGGTGACGAGCTCAAGGTCTCTGCAGTGTGACGAGCTCATGGTTTCGACGAGGTGACGAGCTCGTGGTGTCGGCGATGTGACGAGCTCATGATTTTGACGAGGTGACGAGCTCAAGTTCTCTGCAGTGTGATGAGCTCTTGATTTCGACGAGGTGACGAGCTCAAGGTCTGCAGTGTAACGAGCTCATGATTTCGACAAGATGACGAGCTCAATGTCTCTGCATTGTGACTAGCTCATGGTTTTGGCGATGTGACGAGCTCACGATTTTTGCGATATGGCGAGCTCACGGTTTCGCGGTATGACGAGCTCGTGGTGTTGGCGTTGTGACGAGCTCATCATTTCGGCGAGGTGACGAGCTCGTGGTGTCGGCGATATGACGAGCTGATAATTTCGACGAGGTGACGAGCTCAAGGCTTCTGCAGTGTGACGAGCTCATGATTTCGACGAGATGACGAGCTCGTGGTGTCGGTGATGTGACGAGCTCATTATTACGACGACGTTACGAGCTCAAGATCTATGCAGTGTGACAAGCTCATGACTTTGACAAGGTGACAAGCATGTGGTGTCCGCGATGTCTTAAAATAAACACTCAAACTTTTACAAATAGTTTCATGACTATGGCTTAAAAGCAATATTTCATTTTTATTTTTTAATTTTTTTGCAATAAATGAATGGCCTATAATAATATATATAAAATTTATAAATTGGTAACGGATGAATATATATGCTTTAATTTAAGTGAAGTATTTTCTTTTGGAGAAATATAGTTAATGGACGAATTATTTTTATGATATAAAGAAATAATACTTAATGATGGTGTGATCTAGTAAAATAATAATAGATTAAATAAATAAAATATATAATTAATATATTGGGGAATATATGTGTTTAAAAATACTTTCCGTTGCACCTTTTATGATATAAATTATTTACGGGGCCAGCTGGCGGACCGCCCAGGGCCGGAAATTATGAGGGGCACTTATTAGATTTTTTTTATTATTAGATTTTAAAAAATTGAGTTTTATTTTCACTTATTTTCATACTGTATGTTTTTTGTTATGTGAAATAGTCATGATAAAATTAATTAATATGGATGAATAATAAAATAAAATTTTTTAGATTTTGTTCTCTTATTGCTTTACTCGGTTAATATATACTAAATGTTAGTTATGTGTATATAATTCAATCATATTAGCGTGAAGGCACATATTATTAATGAATCCTTGTGTGTATATATGGTGAGTTATGTGACTATCCATTTTTAAATGCAAGTTTCAATTTATTTTTTTATTTAGTTCTTATATTTTTCTTAAATGATTATTTAGTTTTTTTTTCAATAAAGATTCATTAAACTTGAATTGCCAATTGTGGAGTATAATTAATTTAAACTATATATATGATTAAGGTTAAATAGAGTTTGAAACTTTAGTTGTTATATGTTCATACGATTTTTCACATACAAAATGTGAAGGTGATCAATAAATAACTCTTGTTATTTTTTAAGGTTTTTTGTTCAACTTAATATACTATGTTAAGTTTATTTTTTTATCTTCGCTAATTTTCTATCGTATCATAATTTTTTATGAATCTATTTTTTGAAACAAAAATATTAAAAACAATTTCTTCAAGACCGGCTCTGATTATTTTACACTCTAATTCTCCATTTTATATTTAAATATTTTCCATTTATTACTTTAGTTTAACATGTTCATAGATTGATATTTGATTGACAATCAATTAAAAATTATTTCATTATTCACGGATAATGAAGAAAAAATGGAAATATAACAAGATACAAAATAAAAAAGAAATTTGTACCAAAAAAAATAAATAAATAAAAAAGAAATAGAAAAAAAATAAGAGAGGAAATTGGTGTTATATATGTGTTGTTGCGATAAAAGATATCCTACACTCCAATACACATAACACCAAATCATCAATATGTAAGGGAGTGGATTTATTTGAAAAATCCAACGTTAACGCTACTGTAAAAGCTCCCCTTAAACAATAAGAAAAATACGAATCACATTCCAAATCCAAATAATAATGTCGAAGCACAATCTGAGAAGAAATTTCGACAACAAAATGTTCTTAAACTACGAACATATAATTTATTTCAAACGATTAAATCGTGGTAAAATACCAACAAAAAAAAAGCCACAAAAATCTCCAAATGTTATTTAGAGTCGAAAAGGTCCGGGCCTCGAGCACGCATTAGACCACCTATTCAAAATCAAGAAAAACCAAAATAATCACACAAATTTATTTCAACTGATATATATGACCCATGATCATATCATATATATATACATATAGTTAATCAAGTTCAAATCCATATATATAACAAGGCTCAAATATAATTAAACCTTTTGACTATGGAAAAATTACATAATGCTGCATAAACTAATGGGTTCATCATCATCATACGGGTCGTATTCCCGGGGCGGATAAGACGGCACGTACCTCGCGTGTGGTGGGCCCGGCCTGTAATAATAGGTGTCCGACCCGTAATAATAGGGGTCCCATCCATGGTGACTGTAAGGAGTTGACATGGAATAATGGTGGTGGGTCATTGGATCCGGCAAGGCATGTTGTTGTTGTTGTTGATGATATTGATACGGGTACGGGTTGTGATTTGATCCGTAATTGTACCCGATTGGAGGATAGTTATGGTAATTGTAGTTGTTATCGTAGTAATTTTTGCTAAATCTGGGGTGTTTGATACTGGCCCATTTGACCTCCGCATGATAACCGGTTCTTACTAAGGCTTTCACGAGTAGGTTCGGGTCAACCATTGCATAAACTTTCACCAATCCTTCTTCACTGTTTATGTCGATGTTATATTCTCCTATAAACAATAATTAAACAACAAAAAAAATAATAATAATCATTATATTCCTAATAAGAGAATTAATTATTAGTAATAATTGAAAATTAAAGAAGAGCCAAAAAACCGACAATAATCAAGCCAAAAAAAAAAAAAAAACCGAGGAATTGAAGAAGGTGAAAAAATTACCACAAACCGAACCAAGAACTTCAAGCATCCGATATTTGCAAGCCTGACAATGAATATTTACCTTCAAAATGCAACTCTGCAAACACAACAACAATTCAAATATGAAATAATACATAAAAAATTTCGACTATAATTATATGTAAAAGAATTAAAATATACATATAAGAAATATTACATAATAAAAAACGTATTTTTAATTTTTTTTTTTTTTAATTACCGCTTCAGCATAAGGCTGCTCCATGACTTGGAGATTATTCACAATTAGTTCTTAAGAAGACGAATACATGCTTTTCTTTCTATATAATATAATATAAACTAGCGGAATTATTTATTTGTGTTCATTCGGTGTAATATATGCATTTTATTTCAATCGGAATATTTAAGCATAATAAACTAAGTAGGATATCTTGTTAAAATGAGAAATAAATCAACACAAGATCACTTTTGGAAGGCATGACCATAATCTGAGATATTAACAAAATCTTTGGAATTATGCCAACAATCAATGCCTTAAAAAATTTATCATTCTTTATATAACATATAGATGTGGCAGCGTTTTGTTTTATATTTATGATGATGATGATGATACGCATTTTAAATGTTACTAGTATTCATCCTGTGCACATGCACAAAAAAAAGTAAAAATTATATATTATATGTATGCATACAATATATAAAATTTTATATTAGATAATTGATGTATTACATTTTAAATTTTGATTATATGCAAATGTGTAATGTAAATATAAATTATTTAACTT